ACCATAACCAGATCGAATATGTGTTCTAGAAAGGTTTTACTTGGAGTAGCCTATAGTTCGGGAAGTGGAAACTCTATTTATCACGTGTTCTAGAAAAGACATGCCATTTCAACATCTTGGGGTTGTCTTGATCTTTCTTCCATTTTGACAGGTCCTTGCCAACAGACCCGATATTATTAGAGAAGATTATATGAATGAACTTTGCATTCTTCAAGACGATGTTCCTCCTTTTCCTAACGAGGTAGAATGTTGTTATTAGCAGTTAGTAAATCTGAGGCATCTTTATACATGATATTGTATTTTTCTGGTAATCTCATGTGGTTTGGCATTGTGTAGGTTGCGTTCAATATCATAGAAGAGGAACTGGGTCGCCCCCTTGAAGCTGTTTTTAGCAAAATTTCGTCACGGACAATAGCAGCTGCAAGTTTGGGTCAAGTCTACCGAGCTACTCTACGAGACTCCGGTGAGGATGTTGCTATTAAGGTTTGTATGAATTTTGTGTAATTAACGTTATTATTTTCCTCATATTTCTGAAAGGTCATACATTTTAAAGTTTCCATTCACGTTTAAAAAAACTTAGCCTCGGTATTGTTATATGATTTTTCTGCAGGTTCAAAGGCCTAAGATTGAGCCAATAATATACCAGGATCTTTTTCTCTTCCGAACGCTTGCTTCTTTTTTAAATGGCATCAGTCTACAAAAACTTGGGTGTAATGCTGAGCTCATAGTTGATGAATTTGGTGAGAAGTTACTGGAGGAGCTTGATTATACTTTGGTATGCGTCTGAATTGTACACTAGCAGACTAGTTTTGGAGCTGTTGAATTCTTATGCTAGTTTTGCTTCTCTTATGCAGGAAGCCCGTAACCTTGAGGATTTTCTTGAAAACTTCAAAAATGATCCTACTGTAAAAATTCCTCGTGTTTACAAACAACTTTCTGGTTCACGAGTTTTGGTGATGGAATGGATTGATGGTATCCGCTGCACCGACCCACAGGTTTGATTGTTCATATGGTTTCTTTTTTTGGTATATGAATTCTTTTGGGTACTTGAAGTATTAACAATTTACTCATTCAAACCAGGCTATTAAGAATGCTGGCATTGATGTTGATGGATTCCTAACTGTTGGAGTTAGTGCAGCATTGAGGCAATTGCTAGAATTTGGGTTATTTCATGGTGATCCCCATCCTGGAAATATTTTTGCAATGCGTGATGGACGTATTGCATATGTCGATTTTGGAAATGTTGCTGTGCTCAGTCAGGTAAGTTTTCATCTTTAATGGAAAATTAAATGAAAAATGTTAGTTTCTCCTTCTCTCATTTTGTTTTGTGGTATTGTTATTTCTATCCTTCAGCTGAATAAACAGATCTTGATCGATGCGGTCGTGCATGCTGTAAATGAGGATTATGCTGAAATGGCAAATGACTTCACTAGGCTCGGGTTTCTGGCCCCTGGAACAGATGTTGCTCCTATCATTCCGGCATTGGAAGCTATTTGGCAAAATTCTGCTGGGAAAGGGTTATCTGATTTTAATTTTCGAAGTGTCACTGGTAAACTTCCCTAGTCTATATATGATCTGTGGAGTTTTGTTTCAGTATAACACTTCTAAGTTCAACAGAAGAGTCATTAACATAGAATTGCTAAGATATCTGTTTCACGTGTTCCAGGAAAGTTCAATCAATTGGTCTATAATTATCCTATCCGAATACCTGAGAGATTCTCTCTTGTTATCCGATCTCTACTGACTCAAGAGGGAATTTGTTTTACTCTCAAGCCCAACTTCAAGTTTCTTGAGGTGAGGTTATATTTGACATATTTTATAAGTTCTACTTCCGGTGCACATTTCTTATTCAACGAAGGTGTATTTTCGTGGAGAAATTTATGGTTTTCCTGAGTTAGTTCTTTGAGGCCTGACACACAACCACCTATGAAAAAGCATTCTGATAAAGCTAGGATTCATGAGTATAACGTCTAAAATAGTTCCAACAAGTGAATTAAACTGTCAGTTAATTTCATTGGTTGCTTGGTCAACAATGCACTAGATCTTTTGTGAAATGCTTGATGCTCTTCTTTAGAAAGCTTGGTCATCATGACTTTCTTTCTTTCGTGGAAAGAAAGAAATCAGAGAATATTTACATAAAAGACATAGATTTATACAAAACCTTTTCAACAATGATGTTTACGGTTATATTTTAGTGTAAACTGTCTAATATTTTTACTTCCTATAATACCTCCCTGGTTGCAAATCGGGAGGGTCTGTTGTAAACACAATTGATATTATATTCCTTTTGTTAATTTCAATCATCAATGAAATTGTCTCTTATAAAATATAAAATAAAAAAAAAAGTACGTTGAAAGGCTCTTGATCGATTGATGGAATTGAATCTCTCCTGTTTGGGGGCCTTTATCAAAATACTCGAGCTACTGATCGAGATAGTCACTTTGTCTTTCTATAAACCCCTAGGGGCTTAGACATGGGAGAATTTGTTCCTTTCCCATTTCACTAATTCTAATCTGTTGTTTCTATAAGAGAACGGTTATATTATATTGAAAGCAATAATAGAAACTCAAGCTAAACCTTTGCTGGCATTGCCTTACCCTTATATGTTCCCTTCTCTTGTTAAGGATCTGATCTCCATCTTCATGTCTGCTATATGATCTTCTCTATTTATTTCTCAACAGGTTGCATATCCATATGTCGCAAAGCGTCTTTTGACAGATCCAAACCCGGCCTTACGTGAACGCCTCATTCAGGTTTGATCAATATTCCTGCTATCTAAAGTAATGATTAGGCATGTTTGTGTTAAAATAGTTCTTCGAAACTGATTTCCTTTTGCTTCTTACGATGGAGCTATCAGCTACTGCAGAAGTTCCTTAATATGTCAATTTTTTTTTCTTGCTCTTTAGGTTTTATTCAAAGATGGTATGTTTCAATGGAAGCGTCTCGAAAATCTTATAGTCCTTGCTAAAGAGAACGTCGTTAAGATGAGCAGCAACCCAGCATTGCAGAAGAACGACCTGTCTGTAACATTACACAGCCAGCTCTAGTTTATGTTCTTTCCGGCTTTATAATACCATTGACTTGTTTCTTCTTTGACAACCTTTTCCAGGCAAGGCTCAGGAAAAGTTGAGAAGAAACTTGACCTCAAAGATACAATCAAAGATGGGGCTCGCCTGTTCCTCCTCGACGCAGGAATCCGCCGACAGCTGCTTCTTGCTTTGACTGAAGATTCGCAGCTTCATGTTCAAGAGGTCAGTCATCTCCTTTTGTTCCCTTCTTGATTTGATTTTACTGGTATAGGATATACTAAAATGCCATGTTTTCTTCGTTAGCTCGTAGACGTCTACCGATTACTTGAAGATCAGATCGACGTACCATCAATGGCTTTGGAAGTAGCCCGAGGTAGACCTTTACGATCACTAATCATTCTAACTTTTCACATTTAGACATTTAACTTCTACATGGTCGAAATCGAACCTAATGTTCTCTCCCCACGACCGGGGCTGCCTTCACAGATTTTCCAACTGTAGTCCGGGATCTCATGCTTGCTTGGACCGAATCCGTTCTATCTGACAGATAAAAGATAGCCCTGTTTAGCCACATATAGAAATACAACTTTAATTCATTCAGGAGGCTAGTACTTAACATGTAGCTTTCTGCCATTTTACATTAGAATCATTGAACAAGAGCATTTGTAAATTACAGGGAGGTATTTTATCTTTATAGGCATACCACATATATATATATATATATATATATATATATATATATATATATATATATATATATATATATAATATATAGACAACTGTTTTGAGTAGAAAAAGGGATTCTTCTGTCGGGAACCAAAAGTTGCCATTTATTTTGGGAGGGAAAAGTATTTTTGCTCAGAAACTGAAATGCCAATTGTGTTATGTTAATACATATGTGAGATCCTATATTGGTTGGGGTGGGGTAGGGTAGGGAACGACATACATTGTGTGGAAATTCTCCCTAGTAGACACGTTTTAGAATCATAAGGCTGATAGCAATATGTAACAAAGACGATATATAACAAGTCAAATGGTATCAACTAGCGATGGGTTTAGACGGTTACAAATGGTATTAAAGTCAGTCACCAGGTGTGCTAACAAGAACGCTGGGTCCCAAGAGAGAGGTAAGTGGATTGTGAGATCCCACTTTGGTTGAGAAAAACAAAGCATCCTAACAGTGTGAAAACCTCTTCCTAGTAGACGCGTTTTAAAATTGTGAGAGAGGCTAATGACGATATGTAACAAAATGAAAGTAAACAATATCTGACGTCAAGTTATGACGTCATAAATACTTTCCAGTCTGTCTATATACTATGAAAAGTACAAACATCTTCCATACATCATTGATACAAATGATTGTGTCGGTTGGCTTTTGCAAGAGGCAGTTATATTTTTTAGTATTTACAGCCGACAGCACAAGAGCTCATCACAAAATGATGGAAGTGTCTTTTTCAAGTAATTTACTGAGTTGTTCTTGTTAAAAATTGAATGGAACAACCTACATTTCTACCAATGGGTGTTCTTCAGCAGTGTTTTTTGAACTTAGAATAAAAAATTAATAAAAAATGGAGAGAAAACGAACATAAATTTCAAAAATGAATATTTGAAAACAAACAATGACATCGTTACCAAACAAGGTATGAATTTTTCTCGACCCGAGGCCACCTAACTAGCATCAATTGCATCCGTTCTAGTTCGAAAGTACTTATCTAGAAGTTGACTTGTGCTAAAAGGGTAAGCATATCCTATGACACTGACCTGAGCCCACCATCTGAAGTTCGAACTTTTCAAAGCTAAACATAAATCAATCATCATAGAATGAAGTTGAGAAATAAAACAAAACAAACTAGGATTCGACAACAGTAGGAATGCAAGAGCACGACATTTTAGAACGTCGTACGAAGCACAGGCTCAACGCCAGGCAGTACGTCGACAACCATAAGCGAGACCGCAAGAATTAGAAAGTTCTAAATGAAACATGGGAACAAAACTTAGATCAGCTGTACACTGAAGCATCAGTTATCATCAGCTTGGCGCCTTTCAATCCTTTTTTACAATGTAATGAGTGAGCAGAACACATCTTAGAACAACCCCATAAAAGAAACCAAACAAGACTAGAAGAAAGAAAGAAGGCAACACAATCTAAGAACTAAATGTTTAAACATAACATAATTTAACAGGAATTTGAGTACTTCCTACATCTAAAAGGTTCCTCTATTTCCTTAACTCCGCTTCATTATCCGAAGCTGCCATAAAATCAAAAGAAACACGAGGAAAAATATTTGTGAGTCGGAAGGAGAAGAAAGTAGACCATGCTTAAAGATGTCCCGCTGAGTATTAAAAACAGTGCAGATCATGGGAAAGTGCATACCTAGTGGCTAGTTGTCGTAAAAGCGGGAGCGACGTCTTCGGGAACTAGGGATTGGTGAGGAAGATGAATTAATCAAGTTAGAACGATAAACTCAAACAAATCGGTATTGTGACATCTAAGCTGAACTGCTCAACTTGTAGAGCTAAGAACTAGATGCAACAAAAAGAAGTCTTATCTAATTCATAAATGTTATAATGGCTCATTTTTGTTTTAATTATTAAGGTCGATTTCAGCCAAAACATGTTAAGAAGTTCCATGAATCCCGACAAATAACGAGTTAAACGTAAATGCTTGAATAGAGCTCACTCAGGATTTGAAGGGGAAAGAATTCTCACCTCCTATGGTTGGAGCTACCCCTCGAAGTCACATTTGTACTTGCAAGTTCGTCATCAATTTCTTCTACCCCGTATTCTGCAAATTCAACTGAGGCCACCGAACTGTCATCTGAATTTGATAAGTCGTTACTTGAACGTCGACTTCCCCTTCTTGTATCGCCAATTCTTGACCTCCTTCGGTTCCTTGAGTTCCTAAAATTATCAAATACTTGATACAAGATACAAGAGGTCCACCAATTGCCTTCATCCCCAGGAAAATCCTCAAACTCATCACCACTTTCATCGTCTCCATATTCAATCATGTAGTCACCAAACACCACGCCATGAGGAACTTCTGAGTGAATGGTACTTAAGACATCAATGATCTCAGAGGACTGCTGAAAATTTTCCCAGTCAAGTAGCCGAGCAGGATCGATCTTCGAAGGACAAGCATGAGGATGCTCCAGCTGAGCATGTTGTTGTAATTCCAAATAAGTACCCAGGAATCTACATTGTTCTTCCTCACAATTACGCTTCTTCTCATCCAAATGTACACGGACCTCATCGACCACCTTCCATCCGCTAACATCCCCTCTACACAAAGGACAACATAATTTGCAATTATCTTCTGGTGCCACTGGCTCCGAGTTGATAGGAGGAACTACATCAGATGTTGATGGGGGAGTCGTGTTATGTGCATTTCTAAAACGATCAAGACAATTCGAGTGTAAATGGTCTGTGTCACACACAAAGGGGCGGCATCCTTTGTCATATGATGAACATTGCAGAAGTACAGCATTATGAGGAAACTCCAAGCATATGGAACAAATCACGTCATCCCAATTAGAAGCAAACTGATTACTATCCATGAAAGAGATGGGAAGTTGAACCTACTGTCATATAAAAACCGGATAAACCAGAAGGAACTATGAACACCTCCTCAGTTGAATCTAAGATATTAATCAAAGAATCTAATCATTGATCAATCAGGCTCAAAATGCTACAGTGAGATGACCAAATAATACACCAAATGCATTTAGAAGGCCAATCCTTTAACTACAATAATTGGCTGCACATCTGAAAATAACAACAGAACATGAATTAGGTAATAATCAATGAGTGAGATACTACAATGCAACCATTAGTTTATTCTACACGCTCTGGACAAAGACTCCAAAGTGACCAAACTTTCCAAAATTCTTACAAATAGCAACACGACTTTCTACTTGGATTTCCCAAGAAACGTGATCGTTAATATTCCCTAGAATTCCCTTTCAAAATTAATCGGAACATGAACTCTTAAAGAGTAAAGACCCAACCGAAAATCAGGTTCCAAATTTCCATCTGTTCCATTCAGTCCAGTTCTTTAGCAAACAAAAATCCGAGCAGAAACCACTGATAATGAAATAAAAACTCCAGAAAATCCAGTCCATGGCCCAGAAACAACAACAACGAAAAAAACAAAAACCCCGTCCAAAAAAGAGTTGTTCAATGCGATTACTTTAAGAACAATCACCAACAAAACAATTGATTCGAGAACTCAATACTTCAAAACAAAATGATTATCCGACGATCAGTACAAGAAATCTAGCAACGAAGTCAAAGAAACAAACACATCCAACTCGCCAAGCAAAAACACAAAAACAAAGAATCAAAGAACAGGAAGTTCAGATAAAGCAAGGCAACAGAAATCCAATCGAAATCACCTCAAAAGAGAGCGAAATTTCCAGAAAAATGGAAAATCCAGATGGAGACGAGACCTGAAAAAATAGAGGCCGAGATTTTTCACGCAAGAGAAGAGAGTATCTGCAACTTGAGCCTGGAAAAAGGGGGAGAGAGAGTGGTCAGAACGGTGGGGAGGGAGGGTATGCCCCTTTTTATAATTTTTTATAACTATATTTATTATTTAATAAATAATATTATTTGAGAGAGAAATTTTCATTATTTTTTATTTATTTATTTTTTCATTTTCTTGTGGACTCAAATTATTTTAAAAAAATAATAATAATCGGAGAATAAAGTCACACCATCATAACATTTATTATTAAATAAAATCTGACGTCTGAATATTTTCTGAAATTAAAAAAAATATTTTTTATTTAGTTATTTGTCTCTGTTTTATATTTAATGAAACATTTTTTTTTATTATAGAGTTTAATTTATTAATTTTAAAAGTTACAAATAAAAATTAATTTTTTTTAAGTGTGGTATTAAAAGAGTGACTTTGACCTATGCCAAAAGCCGAGAGAACATCTGGAAGAAAATGTTTGAAGTAAGAGTGACTCGAGCCCAAAGTCAACTAAGTCTCGAGCTCGACTGTTTGCTCAACACGACTCAAAAAAGACATCTCACGAGCCAAAATCCTATAAGGTATGGTCGGCTAGTCGACCCTGCTTTATCGTCACTTTTTCTGGAGAATCGATCACTTTTTAAAATATATAATTAAAATAAATATTTTGAAATTATCGAAATTAAAATATATAAAAAATATAGAGACAAAAAATAAATAATATGAAATTACATAAAGTAAGTAAGTAAGTAAGTAAGTAAGTAAGTAAGTAAGTAAGTAAGTAAGTAAGTAAGTAAGTAAGTAAGTAAGTAAGTAAGTATGTATGTATGTATGTATGTATGTATGTATGTATGTATGTATGTATGTATGTATGTATGTATGTATGTATGTATGTATGTATGTATGAATGAGACATGGCGGTGGGCTTTTTTTTTAATATGGGCTTATTGGAGGCTAAAGCTGGGCCGGCCTATTATCGGCCCAATAACTATCTGGGTTGAGCCCAAATATTTGGGCCATTTCCATTTAAGTTCTTTGTTTTTTGTGGTGCGAAGAAAGAATCCAATTTTCTGTTGATACTAAAGATTGGGGATGCTCCACTTGCTCCTCCTTCAACGCTGCCATTGATGAAACCCCGATTTCTTTCACAGGATCCAGAAAATTATCGAAGAATCTGAATTCAGAAGAAAATTGGGACTATTTTGTTCTTCTTGTTCGTTTTCCAATTCGAGACGAATGGAGCCGTTTCCGTCATCTTCACAAATTGCTCAGAAAACTTGGGAGCTTGAGAACAATATCATCACCGTCGATACTCCTCCGACCACCTCCAAAGGTTCAGATTCTTCCTCCGATGCGATATTCTACTATGATGAGGCGGCACAGGCCAAGTTCCAGCAGGAAAAGCCGTGGGAAAATGATCCTCATTACTTTAAGCGTGTGAAGATCTCTGCCCTCGCGCTTCTTAAAATGGTGGTCCATTCACGCTCCGGCGGAACTATAGAGGTCATGGGACTTATGCAGGGGAAGACTGATGGTGACGCTATTATAGTCATGGATGCCTTTGCTTTGCCGGTCGAAGGTACTGAGACTAGGGTTAATGCTCAGGCTGATGCGTACGAGTATATGGTCGATTATTCTCAGACGAATAAACAGGTGTTTCTTATATTCTCTTTGAATTTTTCATTTCTGATTGCTTTCTTTCCTATTAGGTGAAAATATATTTCTATGTTTTAGTTCGACAAGATTCATATACAAACGTCCGTTATGTATGGAATTTAGGTTTATTTGGTACCGTTGAGGGCTGCATTGGAGGAGTATACTGTAGTCGAGTGTATTTTTTCGTTTATACCTATGTTTGTTAAAGATCATATCATAGATCCAGTGCTCCCGGGTTTTGAATTTATCGAGTTTTTTCAATAAACGATAAATGTCCAACATATGTAGTAGTTGAGTGATGCTGTCGATCTGTGAAACCTATACAAGTTTCCTAAGTTATGCATTACGATTATCTTAACGGCTATCTTATGATTTAGGCGGGCAGGTTGGAGAACGTTGTAGGATGGTACCATTCTCATCCAGGTTATGGATGCTGGCTTTCGGGCATTGATGTTTCCACGCAAATTTTAAACCAGACATTTCAGGAGCCATTTCTGGCTGTTGTAATTGATCCAACCAGAACCGTTTCGGCTGGAAAAGTTGAGATTGGGGCTTTCAGGACCTACCCTGAAGGATATAAGCCACCAGATGAGCCTGTTTCTGAGTATCAAACCATCCCATTGAATAAGATAGAAGACTTCGGTGTGCACTGTAAACAGGTTTCATCACTTGATCTTCTTAGATTTCTGTTGTTTATTTGCCGTTGTACACACTTTTCTTAATTTCTACATGTTATTGCAGTATTATGCGCTTGATATCACTTATTTCAAATCTTCACTCGACTGCCATCTCTTGGATTTGCTTTGGAACAAGTACTGGGTTAATACTTTGTCTTCTTCTCCTCTCTTGGGCAATGGAGATTATGTTGCTGGGCAAATATCAGATTTAGGTATTCTTGTCTTCATTACTATGCATTCTGTTTACTATTCCGACTTGAATCATCAGGTGTGATCTGGGTTTTATATGATTCTTTGTAGTGGTTTCTTTTGTGCTTTGCAGCTGAAAAACTTGAGCAGGTGGAGAACCAGTTAGCTCACTCCCGCTTTGGGCCATTAATAGCTCCTGCTCAGAGGAAGAAGGAGGTACCTTTTCATGTCATTCCTCTTATTCTTTATTCTTATATATATTTGTACGAGCATACAGCTCTCATATACATTAATTGTTAAAGTTATAAAAGATGATCTGTTATTAAATAATTTGTACTGCAGATAAACTATGCATATTTTTTACTTAATCTTTTAGGCTATAAACCACGTACAGAAACTGAGTGTAACAGCCCAAGCCCACTGCTAGTAGATATTGTCTTTTTTGGGCTTTCCCTCAAGGTTTTTAAAATGTATCTGCTAGGGAAAGGTTTCCTCACCCTTATAAAGAGTATTTTGTTCTCCTCCCCAAATGACGTGGGATCTCACAATTTACCCTCCTTCAGGGCTCAGCGTCCTCGCTAGCACTCGTTCCTCTCTCTAATCGCTATGGGATCTCACATTGAGGGTGGGGAGATAAACAATATGATAGGCCCCCGATTGTAAAAGTTTGTGGTAGGAAGGGAAGGAAAGGGTGAGCATGTAAGAAAAAAAGCATGTACGTGTATAGTGGATCCATGGTTTTCTGGTAGTTAGATTGGGCTGGAGAGGTTGGTTATTTAGCTTTCCGTCATGCTGAGTAGGGCATCTTCTTGCTTCATTTTGGGTATTCTCTTTGAGGATTGGGAGATATAGGAAGCTCTCTAACCTTCCTTTTACCTTGTTTCTGATCATAAGTAAAGTTGTTGGACACGGCATAAGTAAAGTGTTAATATTGGATATCTTAACGTTTCATTTCACTTTTAAGATATTATTCCCTTAGATAGATGCGCTCATCACTGCTGGGTTATTTCTATTGTCACCTTAACCAGTTATACTATGTTGAGGTTGGCCACGTAGGCATAACCAATTGATATCCTAACTGTTGAATCAGTTATCTATTCTTTACACACACACACACACACACATTCTAGAAACCAACCTCCATGAAGAACAAAAATAAAAAAAAAGGAGACCACGAATAGGAAATGAAAAAAGGAACTGGAACCAAACAAAATAAGCCACCAAGAGAGGAAATTGTTGTTTTGTTTCTTTTTAGGTCTGATACAAAGATTTCGATTAACAAAGTTTTTCTTGGTGATGCAAGCATATCCATGTGTCTTGTTTTGGCAGTGTCAATTTCACTTTGAAATGTTCTTCTTTTATGTGGTTAACAGAAATTCTCTCCTTTTATATTTAGCTCTCATAAAATATTTAAAATAAAGAGATCGTATTTCTTTAAATTTGTTACATGATGTCTCTGCATACCTAGTTGCCTTTTATTTTACATGATTTTGCACATTGTCGATTTACTATATAAAGTGGAACCTATCGGTTTATGATCATGGATCTTAATTATTGATGGGCGTCTGTCTAGGTGCGTATCCAAGTCATGATGGAGCTTTAATTGCTTCCTAATTAATGAATTTAGTCTATCTTTAATGGCAATACACAAACACTCCCTCTCTAAGTGATCTACTTGCTCTACACAATATATCATTTTGAAACCCAAATGTTCAAATACACAAGCATTATTATTTGTAATTTCATCCTCCAATTGCAGGAAGACTCCCAACTTGCTAAGATCACGCGCGACAGTGCAAAGATAACGGTGGAGCAGGTTCATGGTTTGATGTCACAGGTGACCCGCGCTATCGCCATGTTCATTTTGCAGAAGAACATCTCAAAGTTGTACATTACTTCCTAACCGCAGCTTTTGTACTTTTGCCTGCTTAGGTTATCAAGGACATCCTTTTCAACTCAGTGAGACAATCCAATAAATCTCGGCCCGAGCCATCTGGTCCGGAACCGATGGTGGAAAGCTGATGGACCCAGCTTTTGTAAGTCCAGGAGCTGATGAAATCTTAACACCCTGTGCTCCATGTTTACGTATGCCAGGTATTTGGTTAGAGAAAGGTGCAGATTCTTGTGTTCTTCGGCAGGGTTTATTTGTTTGTATAATGGATACTGCGCCCTTTGTGCAGCAATTTCCGAGTACTGGGAGAGTTCGTAGGGCTGCCTTGCTTAATAGCTTTTAACGGAATGCTTTTTAGTGTACTTTGTCATTTGTTAATCATAGACCAGGCAATTCCCGTATTGAAATATATAACCATAGTGCAAAAGTATTGGGCACCCTAGGTGTTGTTATTTTCTTGTCATTAACGTAAGAATAACATTGTAGCAAGTTTTCTTATTGACAAGTGCCACACTCGGTTGGGGTGTACATTGGATTGGGTTCGGTTTGAAATTTTTTTAGACCAACTCGAAATTTTGATTAGGTTGATGACTCAAGCACCTCTAGGTGCTTTTTGTTTGGTTGGGGTCAATCCAAGGTTGTTGTTCTATGAA